AGGTGTCTACGATGCCATCATCGTGGACTCGTCGGATCCTGTCGGCCCCGCGCAGCAGCTGTTCGAGAGGCCCTTTTTTGAGAGCATGGCGAGAGCTCTGCGGCCCGGAGGTGTAATCTGCACGCAGGCGGAGAGCCTTTGGGCGCACCTCGGGGTCATCGTGGGCATTGCCCGTACGTGTAGGGAGGTGTTCAAAGGTGAGGTGAATTATGCCTGGACCAGTGTGCCGACCTATCCCTGCGGCACCATCGGATTCATGCTGTGCTCAAAGGAGGGCGGCCCGGCTGTGGATTTCCAGCATCCGTGCACGCCAGTGGAGAGACTGTTGGGTGCTACCTCCCATGCCCATGCCGATGCCTCGTCAGCGGGCGAAGGTAAGGATGAGGATTCCGTGGCGGCGGCGGCAAATGTGGAGAATGGAGGATCGACTGCGATCCCACTACCCCCGTTGTCGTACTACAATTCGGACATTCATACGGCGGCGTTCTGTCTGCCGCAGTTTGCGAGGGAGGCATTGGATCCGGTGCTCACACCCAAATCTCGGTAATCTTGTCGTGCAAGCTGGACCAGGGGATCAACCAAGCGGCCATTTTTCTGATCGTGTGGTTCGCCGTCTGCTCCTGACCGGATCATAGCGACAAGAAGGGCGTGACGAGCAACGCAAGAAGCGGGTTTTCTCTTCTCCGTCGAAACTAATTGTTGCAGAAGAAGACGATTGGGCACATCCTCCGCGGTGGACCCCGAAAAAGGGGGTTTGCCCTCCATTGTTGAGGGTAGGGGATGGAGAAGGGCGAACCACTGACCACACTTGAAGAAACAGTTGGTGGTAGACCTGTTAACTGGTCGCCTGCTGAAGTTGCGGCTGGGCGAGGCAGTGAACTGGTTCGTGCACCGCATTGGATGTCGCTTCTTTTCTTTTCTTACTGTCTTCTTTATTTTTCTTCTTTCTTCTCTCTTTCTTTTTTTTATTTCTCCGTCTCGCTCTCCAACAGCGTCACAAACTGACTGTATTTGTCAAAATCTGTTAATGAATCGATTATTCACTCAGCGAGACTCATGCTCAGCCGCGCGCTATGATTTCCTTTATACGCGCGCATTGAATGCACAACCGATGTAGCCCCGCCCCGCTTCCTCTCCTCTGTCACGCCTTTTAGGCGCAGTTTTCGACGCGGCAGTTTCACAGCAGCTCCGCTGGTGGCACTGCTGCTATGAGGTTGTGGGCTCGCTCCCCTTGCAATGTTATCCCCGGGCAGTTTCGCGGCGTTGGCTCCCCTTGCGGCTCTTCTGCTATGACGGTGTGGGATTTGGGTGTGTGCCAGAGTGAGGAAAACATAGCGTGAGGAAGTGAGGAAGACAGTGGCACACACACACACAC